CCGCTGCGCAGAACGAGCTGCATCGGCCGCCGGTTTCGTGCGTTTTCTGGCAGGGTTCGCTGTTCCCCGAGAGGCGGCGCCCCCGCTCTCTACTGCCACCCGGTGGCCTTGTGGCGGTACTGCAGCCCGGCATAGTTCATACTTGTTTTTTGGACTCTGGATCCCAATTTTTTTATTTTTTCTTGTCTTAACTGTAGCTTGTCTTTCTTCCCTGGTGAGCCGATTGCTTGAGGACACCACCATCCTTGGTATGCTTTTTTTATTTTTTCTTGTCTTAACTGTAGCTTGTCTTTCTTCCCTGGTGAGCCGATTGCTTGAGGACACCACCATCCTTGGTATGCCTTATTTTGGTGGAAAGTACAATTTGCTTTACTCGGTTCTGTATCCTACCACGAACCTGAGGTGTTCCACAAATTTCCTTTGTCATTGTAAAATCCCCGTAGGAGTATAGCGACCTTGGCACTACAATTTGAATATCCTTTGCAACCCAGCCCAAAAGTCCAATCACAAGTACTTTGTCCTACCCATATTCTGTCTGACTGATTACGGGATAAGCAATATTGGCCCTTTTGGGGGTGTGTTATAAACCAGGGTGTTTTGTCACCATCCGTGTCATTTAGTACTATACTGTTCTTGTCTGCTAATTGACTCGGGTGTACAGGGGTAGAAACCCAGGGCCAACTATGCAGACCTAGAGGGCCTCCACATATCCAACAATTGGTTGAAGTTTTGAGCAACAGCTTTTCCTAATAACAGAAATTCATTATCTGATGAGGGAGTGAGCATGTGGATAGGAAAGTTTCCTATAAACCAAAAGAGACAAATTATAACCGGCCAAACCACTCTTTTTAACAATAGGAAAGAAATATTATTATATATATTATTAAATCTTTAACAGCGCAAACAAACGCATGCAGTTAAACTTCCCATTAAACGATTCTTCGGTTATTTTCCTTTTAGCTTCTAACAAAGTGAAAGGATTCTCGGTCCCTAAGAAAAGGAGCTCGGATAAGGAACTGGTGAAGCCGATGGGATGATCTACCGGGTATTAATTTTGTGTTCTTTCCCCAAAGCATCCCAAGAATCCCCAAGAACTGCAAGAGAGAGGATGTGTGAATGACATCGGCTGCCATTGTTTCTGCACAAACTCAGTTCTAAGATCACGTATATCATGTCCTTCAGGTTGTTTAGTTCTGGTCTTGTTGCCCTCTTGGTGCCTCCTTATCTCTGTAGCTTGGTGCATCTGCCCTCCCAAGGCCGAGCTGTCTGGAGGAGAATTATTTACGAGTCTCTTTTATCATACAGCTATCCCAGTTATTCGCTGAGGACCAAGACCACTTTTGTTTGACTTAATTATTTTGTCTGACAACTAAGTGATAACTTATGTCTACATTCATCCACTACATTCTTTAATAGAAACAGGGATTAGTACAGTTAAATCATTAGATCGCTATGTATGCAGGAATACAAACTACAATAATAAAGGCTACTAAAAACTAGAAAATATTA